AAAGCTGTAACACTGAGGCTGACAAAGTAAAATAACAGATTTTTTCTTCATTTTATTATACCTTGAACAATTCTCTGATATTAGTATTTCTTTTTATATTTAAAAATGATAGTTAATTAATCAAATCAAGCAAACCAAAGTCCATAGACTTTTCTCTGGATAGTATTTTTCAACTATAGTGTGTGATACACAAAAAAGGCATTCCAAGGGGGTTAAAAGTTTTATTCTCAAATAATGGAATGTGTGGTACTCTATAAAGTCTCACAGAATATAAACCTATTTTGTTTAATCCAGAGTCACCCAAGATAACTTAAGCATAGAATTATATTGCACAAAATTTGAACAATGCTGTACTAAATATCACCTGTAAATAAATGAATGCTCATTGATAGATAGGTAAGACAGATAGATAGATAAGTAGATAGATAGATAGATAGATAGATAGATAGGTAGATAGATAGATAGATAGAAAGAAAGAAAGATAGAGCAGTTGCCTAGACTCCCATTAAGTTCAACAACACAACCCATGAAATAAGGAAACATTTAGAATATGATAGAGAAGGATAATCAAGAAGAGGAATAGCATTCATTTTCCCATCCCCTTTCTTTTCTTAAACGAAACTTCACTAAAAGCTTCATATCTGTCAGGCATTGTTCTAAGTGGATTTACACAGATAATAAGTCATTTAGCCAATCAGAAGTACATGAATCCAACACATCTAAAATAGCAATAGTAATATAATTTATAAAACTTTTAAAAGCTATTTTCTCTATTCGTTTTTAATAAAAGCAAAAGTTGTAAAAGTCTCTTTAATTCTCAATGCATGAAGTTACCATAACACTTTAAATTCAAATATTTAAAACCATTTCTGCAATTTACCACTTATATATTTATAAATTAGAGATTTTTTTTAACTGTACTTTCTAAAATATTTTTAATACCTTTAATATTGGAAGAGCTTCTGAGCTCCATTTTGAAGTTATAGGAAATTCACCAGTCCCTTTTCTTAATAACTCTGTAAAAAAGAAAAACAGAGAGGGAGAGCAGGAAGGAAGGGAAAGAAAACAGGAAGAGAAAATGAAAAACAGAAGAGGTGGAAGAGTGGGCAGGAAAAAGACAGAAAGGCAAAGAAGGTAAGATGAGAGAAAAGGAAAGAAGGATAGAGAAAAATGAAAATGTAACAGTGAGTCATAATCATTAAAAGGACTTAAGCTAAACTAGTTATATTTCAATTACCCGTGATCTTAGAAATAAGTCAATGATGCAGTAACTCATAAAATACCAACTTGTTTCTTTTAGAGAATTGTTTTCTTTATATAAGACATTTCCAAAGCATACAGCTTCTTGCAATACAACAAAATCAAGAATCTTGATTATAAACAAGGTTGTTGTAATTAGTGCCATCCAGTTGTTTCTAACTTATAGTGACCCTGTATAAGGATTCCATCTTTATGCTGCAGAGTAACTGGTGGGTTCTAATTACTAACCTTGTGGTTCACAGTCCAGTGATTATCCTCTAGAGCCACCTCCTATTAACATGTATGTATGCATATATGGATGGATGGATGGACTTTGGTAGCCTAGTGGTTACGAGTTGACCTGCTAATCTCAAGGCCAGCAGTTCGAAACTACCAGCCATTCCATGAGAGAAAGATGAGGCTTTCTACTCCCATAAAGGTTTACAGCCTTGGAAACCTTATGCAGGGTTGTTATGAGTCAGAACTGACTCCACTGCACATCACCACCACCACCAAATATTTCTGTTGTTGTTAAGTACCAAGTCAGTTCCGAGGAGCAACTGGTGAGCTTGAGCTACTGACCGTAAAGTTCAAACCAACTTTGCAGTCCAGTGCATTAACCCACAGTGCCATACCAGGACTCCACTATATATATATACAACTAAGGGTTATTGATTCAAGCTCACCAATCATACCTAGAAAACCCTGAATAGGGTTGCTATGGGTTGGAACTGACTCAATGGCACATATATATGTATTGTTGTTGTTGTTATGTGCCGTGGAGTCAGTTCCAACTCATAGCAACCCTGTATAGGGTTTCCGAGGCTGTAAATCTTTACGGGAGCAGAAAGCCACATCTCTCTCCTGTGGAACAGCTGGTAGTTTCGAACTGCTGACCTTGCAGTTCACAGCCCGATTCATAACCACTAAGCTACCAGAGCTCTTATATATATATAGTTGTTGTTGTTGTTGTTATATGCCGTGGAGTCAGTTCCAACTCATACCGACCCTGTACAGGGTTTCCGATGCTGTAAATCTTTAGGGGAACAGAAAGCCTCATCTGTCTCCTGCAGAACAGCTGGTAGTTTCGAACTGCTGACCTTTCAGTTCGCAGCCCAATTCATAACCACTACGCTACCAGAGCTCCATAAACATAAAATACAACATGTATATACACATATATATGAATGTGTACATATATATGGACTTCTGATATGGTGCTGTAGGTTTAGCATTGGACTGTGAACCACAAAGTCAGCAGTTCAAGTCCACCAGCTGTTCCTCAGAAATCCTACACAGGACTGTTATGAGTTGGAACCAACTCGATGGCATTTAACAACATATACAGCATGTATGGTGTGGTGCTACAGGATACGCACTGGACAGCTAACCATAAGGTTGGCAGTTGGAACTCATCAGCCTCTCCTAGGAAACCTAGGAAATCCTATACTCGGGGGGTGCGGCGGGGACGGTTGTGTACCACCAAGTCAGTTCCAATTCATAGTGATTCTGTATAGGGTATCCAAAGCTGTAAATCTTTACAGGGGCAGAAAGCTTCATCTTTCTCCCATGGAGCAACTGATAGATTCAAGCTGCTGATGTTGCAGTTAGCAGCCCCGTTGGTAATCAACTAGGTGGCCAGGGTTTCTACATTTGGGTAGTATCACTGATAAGGAGATTGGTCTTTCTGTATGTACACTCTATAAAGTGTATTTAAAAGCATTTAGAAAATAATGAGTACCACCTTTTAAATTTGGATAGATATCACAAAGACTGTTGGAATTAGAAAAATACAAATTCTAATTATGGCATGGCACTGATAGTTTCCTATCTGAAAATTTGTATAACAATTCAAACTAAATTACTAAAGTATTATTAAATAAAGGAACATCTTGGAGGGGACTGCCTTCATTTTAAAATACAATGGTGGTGGCCATGTGCAGTGGAGTCAGTTCCGACTCATAGCTACCCTGCAAGTCTGTATGGGAGCAGAAAGCCTCATCTTTCTCTTGTGGAATGGTTGGTAGTTTCGAACTGCTGGCCTTGAGATTAGCAACCTGACTCATAGCCGCTATGCACCAGAGCTCCTTTAAAATACAATTTATGTTATGTGCCATCGAGTCGGTTCCGACCCATAGTGACCCTGCATAGGGTTTCCGAGGGTGTAAATCTTTACGGGAGTAGAAAGCCTCATCTTTCTCCCGCGGAGCAGCTGGTAGTTTCGAACCGCTGACCTTAAGGTTCGCAGCCCGATTCGTAACCACTACGCTACCAGAGCATATAAATTATAGCTAATTTTGCAAGGTGTAATGGCATTGTACTTTTATTATCAAAAATCTTTAACTGTTAGCAATACATGCATTGAGATATTTTCTGGTTAAATGACATGCTGTCCTCTTCAAAAAAAAACTCTGAGGGGATTTGGGGGGTGGGAGGAAGAGAGGCAGGAGAAGGATGAGATCAAAGAAGATTGGCAAATATTGCTACATGTTAGAGCTGGTTGGTGGGTACGTGGTGGTTTACTTCATCTCTCTTGTTTATATTTGGCGCTACAGGATAATGCCCTGGACCGCAAGGTCAGCAGTTCAAACCCACCAGCCACTCCTTGGAAATATTACACAGCATCACTATGAGTCAGAGCTGACTTGATGGCATTTAACAACAACAACAACAACTATTTGGAAAGTCTGCTTAATAAAACTTTAAAAAGTAAAAATTAGTTTAAGGTTGGGTACTTGAAATATATAATTCCAGGTCACTAAATGTATTAGATGACCAGAGACCTTTAACCAGTGGTTCTTAAGACTTTGGTATGTATTAAAGGACAAGAATGGCCCAGGCTAGTTGATGTAGAATAGTGCCTGAGACGTGTACTTTTGTCAGTTCCCAGGTGATACCCATCCAAGTTTAAGAACCAGGGCTTCTAAAACTCTATCTGCAAAGTCTCACCCAACAACCAAGGACAGGGAAAGCCAAATGAGTGAGCCTCTGGGAAGACAATGGTTTTATTACAAAGTCCCCCAGAAGTCACACACTCCATCAGCCATGTCAAATAGCAAAGAAATCCCCCTATCCTCCCCATGGACATCCCACCTCATTCTCTACATGTGGGTAGAGTGATCTGAGGGGTCTAAGCACACACAGAGGGACCACCGTCTGAGAAATGGCATCTTCAGGAAAGAAGAAAATAAAATGGAGGCAGAGAGGGGTTGGGACAGGGAGTGGGGGCTTGTGGGAAAGAAAAAGGAGGGGGGAAAAAGAGGAAGATAAGAAGAAAGGAGAAGAGGATAAACGGAGTAAGAAATGAAAAAAGGGTAAGAATTTTTAAGAGGAAAGGCTGGCTAGAGAAAGGAGATGAAAGGTAACACGATCCTTATACACTCAACAAATACTTATTTGAACTCCCATTCTATGTTACACAGCTGTGGGTACCGGGAATATAAAGGTGACCAAAACATGCTGTCTTCCTTCAAATAGCATACACAGTACGGGGGAAGTGCAAGAGGAGGAAATATGAAAGAAGACAAAAAGGGGGCAGAGAAAGGAAAAAAGAAAAATGGAAGAAAGGGAAAAAGAAAAAAAGAAAAAAAAATTTTTGTCTGATGCTGAACCATAGTGCATGTAGCTTTCTTTTCCTGACATCCATGGTTAATCCTTCTATATTATTTCTACCTCTAGTTATAAATCATCAGTAAAGCTCAGTACTGAAATGCCTAATTTATACTAATACAAGTTAACCTGGATTGTATACCAATTTACACTTACATATTGACATCTGTACTTACATGAACAGTCTCATATTTTTCATTCAATATTTTACCTAGAGATTTTTTGAATCTTCTTGTTGGGCTTCCCAAACACTCCAATATTTCACTTAATCTTAACGTGACCTCTGCCACCACCACAATGTCAATGCCTTCCATTTTGTAGCTATGAATTACTTCATTAATCTGCCACAGAAGATGAACCCACTGAAAAGTGGACACATATACAAAAGCAATTAATGGCAGATTCCACTGTATCAAACAATGCACATTTTCAAACCTCACTATTTCCATAAAGTCACTACCTTGTAATCACATGGAAATGTTACACAGGAACCAACCCAAACCACTGTCATCGAGTCAATTTCAACTTACGGCAACCCTCCAGGGAAGAGCAGAGCTGCCTCATAAGAATGCAAGGCTGGAATCTCTATGGAAGCTGACTGCCACAGCTCCTCCCATGGCGTGGCTGCTGGATTCAAGCCACCAACGTTTTAGTTAGCAGCCAACTGCTTTAACCACTGTATCACCAGGGCTCCTTATACAGGTGGTGGTTCCTACTCATAGCAACCCTGTGTAGGGTTTCCAAAGCTGTAAATCTTTATAGCAGCAGAAAGCCTCAACTTTCACCAGAGGAGCGACTAGTAGATTCAAACTGCTGACCTTGAGGTTAGCAGCCCAGCTCATAATCCACTATGTCACCAGGGCTCCTTCCGTATACAGTTGTTGTTGTTGTTGTTGTTAAGTGTCGTCGAGTCGGTTCCAACCCATAGCGACCCTGTATAGCTCCAAGGAGCAGCTGGTGAGCTTGAACCATTGGCCTTACAGTTCAAACAGCTTTGCAGTCTGCCGCATTAACCCACAGCGCCACCCCTCATTAATTTTAAAAACAAAAAATGTGGTTGAGCTGATTGTGACTCATGGCAAGCTCATGTGTGTTCAGAGTGGAACTATCCTCCAAAAGGTGTTCACATGTAGACCACAAGGGCCTTTGTTCCAAGATTGGTCTGGGTGGAATCGAACCTCTAAACTTTCAGTTAGCCGTTGAACTCTCTGATCATTTGCCCCACCCAGGGACTCTCTTGTTACTGCATCTTAATTATAAACAAATAGCTCATACGTTATTTATCTTGTTAAATATTAATAAGTTATCAATAAAACTATAGATCATTTAATATATACATTATATATTATTTAATAAGAAATTAATCAATTTGCTTATATATAAATTCATTAAGAAGGTTCAATTATGTCTAGAGTCTACATATCTATAGTCAAACGGCAAATTCATGATTTCTTGTTATATATCAGTGAAGATGATCTCTATCCACAAAGTTATTACTCTCCGTCCAAAACAATGAGGGGGAAGCAAGCGGAGGAATGAATTCCTTGAAGATTTACTATGTCTTCCTGTCTGTATCTCCAAATCTTAACCTATTAAACAAACCAACACACTTTGAAATCTAAGATGATAAAAAAAATATTTGCCCACCAACATCACTTTAAATCCTGGTGTGGCACTGTAGGATAAGCAATGGAGTGCAAGACCAGTCGTTCAAATTTACCAGCCGCTCCTCAGAAACCCTATACAGGGTCACTATGAGTCGGAACCGACTCAACAGCACTTAGTAACAACAAGTTATATATATAAAATATATAACAAGAAACGTATCACTTTAAGTATCTGATAAAAATTATCCCCATGAATCCTAGTGCATATAAAATTAGGAGGCTTCAGATTCACAGGAAAATCTATTACTGATAAAATATTTTCTCCTAAGCTTCCAATGTATAATGTTCAACTACTCAACTTCTTCATTCCCTAAACTACTTTTTTAATAGTCTAAATACGCCATTTAACAAACAAAACATTTTGAAATTCCTTCCTTATTTATTTGCATTCTCTATTACTAAACTTCTTTATGAATTTATCAAAACTCACGTGACCATATTATTAATGTGTGCCAACAAGTTGATTCCAACTTATAGAGACCCTATTTGTCAAAGTAGAATTGCTCTATGGAGTCCAGGTGTGGCGCTGTGGGTTAATACATTGTACAGCAAAGTCGGTTAGAATTGCAAGGTCAGCAGTTCAAGCTCACCAGCTGCTCCTCGGAAACCCTGTACAGGGTCGCTATGGGTCAGAACCGACTCAACAGCTTTTAACAACAACAATGGTGTTTCCTAGACTGTGATCTTCACAGTAGAAGACTTCTACATCTTTCTCCCACAGATTGCCAGGTAGGTTCAAACCACCAACCTTTGGGTTAGCAGCAAGCTCTTAACGGTTGCATCTACAGGAATCTTTCATGTGACATTGTTGTTGCTGTTAGGTACCACTGAGGAGGTTCCAACCAATAGCAATGCCTACATACAACAGAACGGTACACCACCCTGTCCTGCACCAACCTCACAATTGCTGCTACGCTTGAGCCCACTGCTGCGGTCACTGTGCCAATCTAGCTAGTTGGGGGTCTTCTTCTTTTTCACTGACCTTCCACTTTACCAACCATGATGTCCTTCCCCATAAACTGATCCCTCCTTATAATATGTCCAGAATATGAGGGACAAAGTCTAGCCATCCTGGCTTCTAAGGACCTCAGCACACTACATATTTATTCCTCTCTTGAAAACTTAAAGAAGCCCTAATGGAACTGTAAGATAAGCACTGTACTGCTAACTGCAAGCTCAACTGTTCAAACCAACAATGGCTCTGCAGGAGAAAAAAAGAGGTTTTCTGCTCCCACAAAGTTTACAGTCTTAAAAACACTACGAGTCAAAATTGACTCGATGGCAAGGAGTTACTGAAAACTTGAAATACCTCCCAGGTCCCTCAAACAAACCAAACTGTGAGAGGGCTGCAAGGAACACACATTAAAAGAAAGGGTCAGTCACCACTACACTCAAGGGCATCTTCTACGTCACACATATGGATACAAGTGATATACAAGTTGGATAAAGAAGGAAAATTTGAAATGTGCATCACAATTTGGATTAGCATAAATAAAAATATTAGAAAAGAAACAAAAGAAATACCTTGTTACTACTGATTTTCTGGGTGAATTTTGCATAGTCATTTTTGGATATATTGATCTTCTGAATTCCTAATTTGCATTTCTGCCACAGGAACATTATCATATCCACAACTATTTCTCTATCGGGCTGAACATTCTGAAAACAAAAATTACGGAGTATATTAATAAGAATAAGTGTTGTGAGTTAACGCACTGGAATGCAAAGTTGCTTTGAACTGAAAGGTCGGTGGTTCAAGCTCACCAGCTGCTCCTCAGAAATCCTATACAGAGTCGCTAAGGGTCAGAACTAACTCTATGACACTCAACAATAACAATATATATATAAAGAGAGAAATGGAGCCCTGGTGTGGTGTTGTGGGATAAGCACTGGAATGCAAGGTCGGTTTAAAGCATAAGATCTACAGCTCAATCTCACCAGCCGTTCCTCGGAAACCCTATACAGGGTGACTCGGAGTTGGAACTGACAGGACGGCACTTAGCAACAATAACAAAGAGAGAGACATCTGTATCTAGCCAGCTAGCTAACATTTATTGTGTGCCCAATACTTACCCATTTAATTCTCACAACTCTATAATGTGAGTACTATTACCACTATCCACACTTGACAGATGAGAAAAATGAAACATACAGAGATGAAGTGATTTTTCTAAGATGAAAGGACTAGAAAGAAGCAGTTGTTGTTGTTGTTGTT